AATGGCCATATAGGACTATTAAAGGGTGAGCAAGTTTTGCTGATCACTCCTTGGCTCTCCAGCCGGTGCACGAACTCATGGAAGGGGAACAGGTAGTCTCAGTTGGTGCGAAATTGCCGACGGTGCACAGTTGTAGTCGCAATTGGCACTTGCTGTTCTTCAATCCTCAGCAATCCTACAGCAGAAGGGTCTTCTGAGGGACCAGGCAGGGTAGACAGCTGCTTAATCTTCTCTGTGCTCAAAGCAGCTATGCCAAAAGCCCACCAGTACCCTTTTGGATCCTTGAAGTACCCTTTCTTGAGGTAATCTGTGCCAAGGATGCATGGAGCCTCTGGGCCAATCACAGTACGGTGCTTTTGCCACTCATTCCCAGTTAGACTCACTTCAGCTTCCAATACAGTTAGCTCTTGGGATCCCCCTGTCACTCCAGAGATAGAGATGAGTTCTGCCCCTTGGTGGCCTGACGGCATTAAGGTACACTGTGCACCTGTGTCCACTGAAGCTTTATATTTCTGCAGTTCCGGTGTGCCAGGCCATCGAATCCACACAGTCCAGTAAATCCGGTTGTCCCTCTCCTCTACCTGGCCAGAGGCAGGGCCCCACTAGTCCTGGTTGGAGCATCTATCACTTAATTCTTCCAAATGTGAAGCAGAGGTCTCTTCGTCAGGGTCAGGAGTAATACTAGCCCTTCTACTGCCTCTGGGGGACTGCCCAACAGAAACTGGGGCAGTAATCCTCCTAGGGGCCTTTTTTCTTGCTGCTGTATCTTTCCGCAGTTCACGTACCCAAGCAGCTAGAGCCAAGGTCGATTCACTGTCCCACTTCCTCATATCTTCCCTGTGGTCACATAAATAAAACCACAAGGTGCCCCGTGGTTTGTGTCCTGGATTCTTTGCTGCTTGAGGTGGAGAATGCTGGCACTTAATGGCTGAAAGATTCCTCCATCTAGGTGAGGAGGAAGTTATGTGTTCTTCTAACCGTTGGGACAGTTTTGCCATGTCTGAAATGCAGGCCCATACTGGGCAGAGAGATTTTCTTCGTATTTATGAAGCTGGTTGGACACAGTATCCACTGTTGGCCCCATCCCCTCATCCCAATTCATTGCTGACAGTGTGCTGGCATGTGATGAGGGTGCAGCCCGTACAAACTTCCGCCACATGGATGCTGTGCACTGGACTTCATCAGGGTCTTTAGGTGTCTGTTCATGGTTCAAATTACTATAAATAATCTCCAGCACAGCTAATTCCCTCAGGTGCTGGAGACCTTTCTCCACAGTGGACCACTTGCCTACTTGATATACAATATCTTCCTTCTGGGGATACCTTTCTTTCACAGCTGCCAGGAGTCGCCTCCAGAGGCTGAGGACCTGTGCCCCTCTCTCAATTCCTCTGTCAATTACCCTTTCTCTAGAGAGGGATCCCAGCTGCTTGGCTTCATTGCCTTCTAATTGTAGGCTATTGGCCCCAGCATCCCAGAATTGAAGCAGCCAGGTGAGGATGTGTCCACCTGGATGACGACTGAAATCCTTTCATATTTCTCGCAACTCACTCAGGGATAGGGATCAGGTAGTTTCTGATTGATTTATGATTTCCATCTCTTCTCTCTGATGTTGTTGTGATAACACTTCTTTAGAGGTGCCTGCCTTTTCCTCTTCTCCCTCTTCGTTAGGAGGAGCTTCTTCCCTTACTAAATGAGCTGACTTCTGTTTCCATTGTTTTGACTTGACTATGGGGGCGACTGATACCATAGATGGTTGGTCCTCTGGGGTAGTCACAGTGTGTATTATCTCGTCATTGACTTCAGAAACTTCCCCATCCCCTTGAGGGATGTTCAGTCCAGTCTTGGGGCCAGTTTTGTTTAGCATTTTTATCAATGATCTGGATGAGGAGACTAAATGCACCCTCAGTAAGTTTGTGGATGATACCAAGTTGGGGAGAAGTGTTGATCTGCTTGAGGGTAGGAAGGCTTTGCAGGGGGATCTGGATAAGCTAGATCAATGGGCCACATCCAATTGCATGACATTCAACAAGGGTAAGTGCTGGGTGCTGCACTTGGGTCAAAATAACCCCATGTAGAGGTATAGGCTTGGGGAAGAGTGGCTGGGAAGTTGCCTTGCAGAAAAGAACCTGGGGGTGCTGGTCAACAGCCAGCTGAACGTGAGCCAGTAGTGTGCCCAGGTGGCCAAGAAGGCCAGTGGCATCCTGGTCTCCATCAGAAGAAGAGAAGAATAACAAAGATGGTGAAGAGACTAGAAAACAAGTCTTATGAGGAACAGCTGAGGGAACAAGGATTGTTTAGTCTGGAGAAGAGGAGGCTCAGGGGAGACCCCATTGCTCTCTACAACTACCTGAAAGGAGGTTGCAATGACAGTCTCTTTTCTCATGTGACAAGCTATAGGATGTAAGGAAATCACCTCAAGTTCCACTGGGGGAGGTTTAGATTGGATAGCAGGAATAATTTCTTCATGGAGAGGGTGGTCAAGCATCGGAACAGGCTGCCCAGGGAAGTGGTGGAGTTCCTATCCCTGGAGGTATTTAAGAGATGTGTTAATGTGGCACTTGGGGTCACAGTTTAGCAGTGGACTTGTAGTGTTGGATGGATGGTTGGACTTGATGTTCTTGAAGGTCTTTTCCAACCTTATTGATTCTATATAAATACCTGATGAGAGGATGCAAAGAACCTGGAGCCAGGCTCTTTTCAGTGGTGTCCAGCAACAGGACAAAAGACAATGGGTACCAACTGGAACTCAAGATTTCATCTGAACATCAGGAAGCACTTCTTTACTGTGCGAGTGACTGATCATGGGAGTGTGTTGCCCAGAGAGGCTGTGGAGTATCCCACCTTGGAGACATTCAAAAGCAGGTTGGACATGGTCCTGGGCAACCTGCTTTAGATGTCCCTGCTTGACCAGTGGGGTTGGACCAGATGACTTTCAGAGGCCCCTTCCAACCTCAACCATTCTGTGATTCCACTGCTTAAAGCAGCTAGTCCTGGCTGCTCTTGCTGCTAAGAAGTAGGGATGTTTCTGAGAATTCTCATGTACTCTTTTGTAATGAGGCCAGATCGAAACCCTTTGACTATGAGTACCCAAAATCTTGTTTTGAATTTTGTTTTTATTTTAGATGGAAAAATGTATTTAGAACTTACCTCTTACTTACAGGGTGATGAGGGCAGGGATGAAGGATGTGTTTCTTCATGTGCTAGAAATGGGAGAAAGCAAAATAGTTTTAAAACCTACAAAGTTAAACCCAACTTAATATTCTGGTATTTCATATCTTTGGTGGGATTTGATGACAATATCCCCTGAACAATAAAGCAATCTATTTATCAATAAAATGTAGCTAATTTTATACTGACAACCATCCTAGTGATACAAAAAAAATTTGATTTCTATGCAATACTTTATATCTTGGTAATGTTCATGAAGAATAATAAGTTGTAAATTCTGAAGTGCAGTAATTTTTTTACCTTATATAATTTTATTTGCTAAGCAGTTAACTTTGAACTATGTGTGTTACACATATTTACTATTGCTGTGAAAACATTCAGGTGTGACTCTACAAAGAGTTTGGGTTTAACATTATATGTCCCTGATCCTAATTAATGTCGGTTTTAGAGTAATTACATGGCTCAGTCTTCAAAATAGGACTATAATCAAAGTTTACAATTTATTAAAGGAATAGAGGTAAGCAAACAGTGCTGGGTGCGCTGGGAGTCTCTGCTCCACCAAGACACACACCAGTTATATCAAGCAGTTGATTTTTATGCTCCTAGGCTAATACATATTCATTACTACTTCTAGAAAAAAACAGGGTTATTATAATTAGTTTCCAGAATCCAAACCCTCCTACTGGAGCATGCGTATCAGTCTCCGGTGGTCCTTCTGGGGGGTCTCTTGTGCTGAAGGCTCATAGTCTTCCTCCCTCTTGTCCTTCTCCTTTGTCCAACTTGGCTGTATGTCAGAGACTTGTGCAGCATCCCCTGCAAGCTTTGTCTTTTAGTTGTCCTTCAGCTTTCCCCTTCTTCATAATCTCTTGGACAGATATCAGAGACTTGCACAGTGTCCCATGCTGTATGTAGTGAGGTAGGGGTTGGCCTGTTCTCCCACGTGCCTGGTGACAGGATGAGGGGGAATGGGCTAAAGTTGCGCCAGGGGAGTTTTAGGTTAGATGTTAGGAAGAACTTCTTTACTGAAAGGGTTGTTAGGCACTGGAACAGGCTGCCCAGGGAGGTGGTGGAGTCACCATCCCTGGAAGTCTTCAAAAGACGTTTAGATGTAGAGCTTAGGGATATGGTTTAGTGGGGACTGTTAGTGTTAGGTTAGAGGTTGGACTCGATGATCTTGAGGTCTCTTCCAACCTAGAAATTCTGTGATTCTGTGATTCTGTGATTCTGTGATTATGATTCTTTCAGGAAGCCATTCTTCCTCTCTCCATTTTTAGGCACTACCACCGGCTAAGGAAGCATCAATACATTGTTTCACTCTATTCAGATCATCATATAATTTTATTCCTAAATGATTTCCTTGTATTTGTGACAATAAAAAGAACAAGGGTCTTATGTATCCCACATAGCAGATTCCTGACCAGTCTTTTGGTAGCATTTTGTAGGCATGTTTGCCACACACCCAATAATGTCCCTTTAGGGCCCACATCCCATTTGCAATTACAACCAAGTTCTCCTTAGCAGCATGTCATATTACGAGCTGACCAGAAATGTTTAAAGTACACTTGTTTCCCATTCTCATCTTGCCACCTCCAGCGGTAGACCCTTACCACATGCTGCTCCCTAGTGGTGTTATCACTCTGACAGCTCAGGATCTGAACGTCAAATTGTCCCTCTGCATGTGCTCTTGCCATGGTTTTACATCCAGATCCAAAAAATTCCTTATACGAGCATTTCAGCCAAGTTCCATTTTTCAGCTGGACGTGTGTAGCATTCCATTTTCCTCTACTTGCTTATGTCCCAATTAGATTCATGGCTTTTATTCTGTCCTTCAGGGAGCAACCCATCTTCAGCACCCGAGCTCATGTCTTCCACATTGACCCAAACACTAAGAAGAACTGGGTTCCCACCAGCAAGCATGCTGTTACTGTGTCCTACTTCTATGACAGCATAAGAAATGTCTACAGGATAATCAGTTTGGATGGATCAAAGGTAAGTTTTATTTTAGAGAATTTGTTTGCTGATTGATTTTTGCATTTATTTTCCAGTCTGATGTCCTTCATGTATCTTCTCAGATGCTTTTGTTATCTAAGAGATTACTGATGTGTTAAAAGGGTTATATTGTTTCATTAGATGTTTTAAGTGTTCATTGGAAAATATTATTCTCCATACATTCATATTTACTTTGATAAATCTGTTGCTGAATTTAAGCAATGACCTTTTATTTAATATTGATCAATCTAAAAGGGCATTCCCTGTGATGTATACTAAAAAGTACAAATAGTGTGTGTGAGTCAGCACAGGCAGGCAGCAGGAACAAGAACAGACCCACAGCTAAAACACAAAAAATAATATTATTTTCATTACTTTGACAACCGGGGGATCCCCGAAGCAACACCCAGGCAGAGGCACACAAGCAGGGACACAGGCACTGCTAAGCTTGGTCCATGCTAGACGATAACAGGCCTGCTGTTTACACCTGTTTATCAAGGGTTTGTGCAGGCAGTTTTTACCATCATGCTGTGATCCTCACTGTGCTTCTTTGATGTTCTCTGTGCCAAGGCCAGGAGCTCAAGCGTGTCCAATACGGCACGACCAAATCTACCAGAAACCTATGTTATCTATACACACATAACTTGCCAAATACATGGAGCATAAAAAGCAGTAGGTACAATTTATGTGCTTTTTTACACTGCTGCTTTCCAGACTTTATGCCTTCCCAGCTGCAAGGTCACTTGAGCATATTTACAGTCCTCCTCAACAGTCTTTCGTTCTGATCTCATCCTTCTCTTCCAACCTAGAAATTCTGTGATTCTGTGATTCTCACCAATCTTCCGCTTTTAACCCATTCCTCCCAACATATGGTTATAATAACCTGTTTTCATCCCCACATTCAATGATGTAACATTATCATTGGCTTCAGCATTATGGAAGACATCTGTTCAGTGCCTATAATCATTCAGTAAGTCCTTCATTACATCATCTTCCAATTTTTGCTGTAGGGAATGTGATGATTCCTTCCCAATAAAGCACTGCATAGTAAGCTTTTATCAGAACTCAGTTGGGTTGTGTTTGAGGGAGGGTTATGGTTTTTTGTTTGTTTGTTTGTTTTTTTGTTTGTTTGTTTTTAATTAGGAAAGATAATGTGTTGAGCTTCTGTTGTAAGAAACCTTGTTTAAAATATTAATTTAGAAGACTTGGGAAAGTACCTGACAGTTCCTTTGGTTCTACCCCAAGTGGGTATAAAGACAGTAACTTTACAAACAGCACATCAGAAATCTATGCAATAAGGACATTAAAGATATGCAAAGTATAATCAAAAGCTATAATCCTTTGAAGAGACTTTCAATTGCAATTTCTGGAGATGTGTCAATTCATGATGGTTGGAGCTGAAATACTCTGTATAAGCATAGCAGCACTCACAGATTTCTTTCAGAGATCTCTATATGATAATACTTCAGATGACTGAGACTCTGGTACCAAAGCCTACCCAAAATTTTCAAAGTTTAACTCTTACTTTGTTTCCTCCCTTCCAGCCTTCCTTCAAATGTTGGTTTTTGTTTTTTTTTTTTTTCATTTCATCAAATAATTAAAGTAGCTTTTTCTGTGACTGTTTATTAAAAATAAAAAAGCAACCCCCCCACCCCCCAAAAAAAACAAAACTAAAGCCAAAAACAACAACAAAAAAAAACCACACAATTTTGGGATTGGGACTAGATACTGTATGAAATCAGGGCTACTATTTGTAATGTGTAGCACCTAAATTGATCTGCACATTTTACAAAATCCTTATAATATCCATTGGGGTTCTTCTGCCTTTGTCTAAAGCTGCAACTCTTGCAAAGTGGTTGCTGAGTTGCATTGTCAAGCAGTTGTTCATCTATTTATTTACTCTTTTGTCTTCTGCATTTCCTTTGTATTTACAATGCTATTGGCAAGGTATACTGATAATTCAATCTATCACTTTTATTTACTCTCTCTGTTGTAGTCTTAATGTTTTCATCCCAAGCATTATGTATCTTAGATCCCAGTCTCTCTGATTAAGACTCATTGTTTTAGTTATCACAACACCTCAGAAACATGCACAGGTGAATAGCGGGGGGGGACCCATGGAAGACCTGTTTGTTTTTTTTTGGCATAATTCACAGATTTATTATTATTATTATTATTACATTTTTTAACATGTCTGTGCATATAAAATGTAATATGTACAAAGGGCTAAATATAAATATAAAGTATTCTTAAGTTCAGAATGCATTCAGATAATCTCTGGTTTATGGCATTCAGCTACAATGCCTCATATTGTCTATTGGTCAGACAGAAGTATTACATTGGCAAAGGAGAAAAAACTATAATGTAATTCTATGGTTGTGAGTTTTGAAATGAAACTGAATAAAGATGATTTTGTTTGTTTTTTTTTTTTAAACGGATTTTACATTGCAAATGTCTCAATTTTACATGTTGCCAGCTGCCAAAAACATTTGTTGAACTGTGTTAGCTTTAAAGCTCTCAATTGCCCTCAGGTGGCGATAAATATAGGATCCAAACAGATTTTATTGAAAGCCTCAGTGCTGGTGGGGTTTACAGCACCCTGTGGGTTTGTACATTGCAGAGAATGAAATGCATGTGGCTGCTCAGTTGCAGTGGCTCAGATTGTTGTCCAATAAAAAGTTCAGATTCATTACCCGGTATGCAATAAGCCAGTCTACACACTAGGCCAAGAAATTGTTTATTTCAGAATTGCTTAAGTCTGGGTATTAGGTGGTTTCCCACAAAGCTGGCACACCTAAGGATATTCCATGCCACTTTTTATACAGTCCCTTATTGATTTTACAATCAATACAAATACATCTTTGTACAATTCCCATAGTCTCTGATTGTTTACATAATTAGTATACTGCTGACATGACAGAATAATTCTGTACATCCTTAGAAAGAAAAGATCCCTTGTTGGGCCACGGTCTCCCAGCCTAGGGGCATGATTTTTACTATTATAATAAGGATAGTTCACAGACAGTTCACATTAGAATACTCTTGTTTTCCAGCCAACTATTCATATTACGTTGATTGGTGAAGTATTCAAAGGCATAAGTCAGGATGTTTTCCTCAAGAATATCAACAGAAGGGTCTTCATGATTAGCAGTTCCTCAGTTAATCATCCTTTGGACATCTCTAAGGCCTGGGCTATCTTGCCCTTTCCTCAAAGTACATATTTGATCTCTTTCACAGAAAACGGAGTTAACTATACACTCGTATCATAATTCCCCCCTTTGAGACTTATCTAACCTCCTAAAGTTAGATGAGTCTCATCTTTTCATTTCAACATTTGATAATTTTGATCAACATTTAAATGTACACTCTATTAACACTTAGATACAAACAAAGAAAACTACTGCTGTAACTAGTACAAATAAAATTTTCTTTACCCACAACTTTAGATCCAGAAAGCAAGACGTCAACCATTGCCAGGCTTCAAAAACCCATATGAAGCTATCAATTCAAACTGGGTGCTCTGGCTCCAGGGATTCAAAAACACTTCTTGATTTCCTTCACTCCCTGGCTTCCTGACTATGCTCAATCAACAAAAGGCTGTTAATCACTTTATTCCACTCATTTTCTAACTTAAAGAAACTTATGCCTTTACACAGAAAGTGTATATATATATACATACATATATAGGGTAGACACACTAATAGAGATAAACTTCAGTTTATACAGTCTAAGACTATAAATTTATAGTCCATTAACTTCGGTGATTTTCAACTTTGAAGACCCTGTTATTTCAGTTTTCCATAGCTGTGGAGGAGCAGCTTTCACTCAGGTATAATGAATCCACAAGTCAATCTGTCTAAGTTTCACAGCAGTATTTGTCATTAACAGCACCAGAAACGTTCCTTTACACTTTTCAGTTAGGGGGTCTTCCCTCCAGGCTTTCCAGGAGAAAGGGAGTGAACCAGTGCATCCACCGGAATCAGCACCCTTAATAGTGTGTATCTGTGGATGAGACACAAAGTTTTTCCTGAAGACAAATGGAAAACTGTAAGTGCTTGGTTCTCAGTTACATCCATCTGATCAGGTTTCCCAGTCAAATTTATAGTATAGGGCTTCCCATACAATATTTCAAATGGGCTTATATTTGAGACCTGGGAGTTATCCGGACTCTAAGTAAAACTACTGGGAAAACCTCTGTCCACTTCAACTGAGTTTCCTGGCACAACTTTCTTATTTGGCCTTTCAGTGCTTGGTTCATCCTTTCTACCTCACCACAAGATTATGGCCTCCATGGGGGTTTGCTGCCACAAAGTGAGGCCACCTATCAGGTATTCCAAATCACAGAATCATAGAATGGCTCATGCTGTAAGAGACCTTTAAAGACCATCTAGTTCTACCTCCCCTGCCACGAGCAGGGATGCCACCAACTAGATCAGGTGCCCCAGGGCCTCATCCAACCTGGTCTTGAACACCTCCAGGGATGGGGCATCCACAACCTCTCTGGGAAACTTGTTCCAGTGCCTCACCACCCTCACAGTGAAAAATTTCCTCCTAACATCTAATCTGAATCTCCCCTCTTTTAGCTTAAAACCATCCCCCCTTGTCCTGTCATTATCTCACTGAGCAAAAAGTTGCCCTCCATCTTCTTTACAAGCCCCCTTTAAGTACAGAAAAGCTGCAATGAGGTCTCCCTGGAGCCTTCTCTTCTCCAGGGTGAACAACCCCAGCTAGCTCTCTCAGCCTTTCTTCATAGGAGAGGTTCTCCAGCCCCTTGATCATATCTGTGGTCCTCCTCTGGACCCGATATAACAGATCAATATCCATCTTTTCCTGGGGGCTCCAGACCTGGACGCAGTACTCCACGTGGAGCCTCACAAGGGCAGAATAGAGGGGGACAATCACCTCCCTCAGCCTGCTGGCCACTCCTCTTTTGATGCAGCCCAGGATGCAGTTTGCAAGCGTGCACTGAAGGCTCATGTCAAGCTTTTCATCCATCAGAA